AACTTCAAAGTCTTTTGTGTAATGCTGGTCGATCTGACCTGATATCAACTGTATAGAAGTACAAAACTCATGTCACATTTGATCATGTCAGAAGAGATGTCAAAGGTGTGTACAGATGGAGAAACTATGAGGGGAAAATGAAAAGAAACTGGGAACCTGTCCAAAATGCTTGTAGAAGCTGCTAAATTCAGCCTGAGTGGTCTATTCATAGCTAGTGTTTGCTAATAAAAGAAAAAGCTGACTCTTGATCTCCAATTTCATCTTGTTGTGACTGATGGAAATTGACCTTGTGTTCAGAATATGGAGAAGTAAACATCCAAATTCAAGGTAATTAGGAGCTGCAGGAATCCATTTTTCTCTCTGCTGACTGCTCATAAAGTGTGACTCAAAGCAACAATTCATTATGTTTGCCACCAAACTCTAGGGCCTAGTTGAAGTATCAGTTGGGTATAAACTAATTCATCTTCTAGTTCTAAAGAAAATTAAATGCTTTGAATTGTTGTAGGTTTTTCGGGCTATATGGCCATGTTCTAGAAGCATTCTCTCCTGACATGGCCACGTCCCTGTTGTAAGCAGTGACTGTATGAAAGCATTAAGGGCGATGCTGTACATGTATGGTAGAAGAAAATCCATTCATCAGGATTCGTGGACTTAATGCGGACCCGATGGTGAGGTGAAGGGGCGATGGTGTAAGTGAAGGGCGGAGCAAGCTGCAGGCGTCTGGGGTGCCCAGGGTATGGAAAAAAGAGATAGAGTGGCTCTGGGCCCAGAAAAACACAACTCTCTTACCTGTCTGGCCCACCCTTGTATCCTATTACCATACCTCCTCCTCTGCCACTCAGATCTCGCTCCTGAAGACTGCAGTGAAGCGGCGCATGTGCAAGATCTGAGAGGCTGAGAAGGAGGTATAGTAATAGAAAAAATATCATATTGAAATCAAATCTGATGCTTTTAACATTTTTATTTGGTGTGCGTTGGAAGAGGGGTAGTCTTATATGCCGAGTATATCCCAAACTCTATATTTTAACTGGAAAAGTTGGGGGTTGTCTTATACGCCCAGTTGTCTTATATGCTGGAATATACGGTACTTGGAATTCATGGTGATGCTGAAAATGTCGGCATATTGAATGGAATGAAACCCTGTATTGCATCTATAGCAGCTCTTTATTCAGCATATTTCTACTGTCTTCCAATTCCATTTCAATGAGTAACATGTTAAATGTGGAAATGCATTATACATATAGAAATTCCATCTTCAGCTACCTCTGCCTGACTAATATGAGGGTCAGGAAGAGAAGAAGTCAGAAACAAATACACTTTTTTTCAAAGGGTGAGCTGAATGTAGTAGGGATCAATATTTAGGATGTGAACACTCATCCTGCTTTCATCTTTGGCAAACATATTTTCCATATTAGTTAGAATGAAGGACTTTTCTCCAGCAACTTGTTCTTTTACTCCCAAATCTCTTTCCAATACCTGTCAAAATTGTATCTGATGAAAAAGCAGATCTGTAACATATCCTTTAAATTAAAGATGACATTACATTTCATGGCGCCATGTACAATAACAATAAATAAATGCACATATATCTGTCTGCCTACCCTGCTCTTGTTTACCATATTTTAGCATACTTCTGGTGGGTGAAACATGCTCCAGAGAACTAACAGCCTGTCAGTTAACTGGCTTTTCAGTTAAGAAGAAACTGGGCCATGAAGTCTTGTAATGGTGACCTGGTTTTCTTGTTGCCTACAGGCAGATAGCAACTTGCTACTCGGAATTGTAGTTCCTAGAAAAAAATTCTCAGCCATTATACAAAATGAGGTTGCTCACTAATGGAAAAGCCTTCAGTCATCTGCAAAATATTTCTCAGATATAAGACTTAAAAAAAACCCCCAAAAGTCCAGTTAAATACAATTAGGTTAGAACCTAAACAGGAGCATGGTTTGCACACTGTTTCAAGATCTGCAAAAAACAATCACTAGGTCCATGCTAGTAAATTGTAGGAAGTGGGGCGAAAATATCTACTCATTCAGAGTGAAGGCAAGGAGCATGTGTAATCGAGGAATCTTTCAGAAACTTTTGAAAAACTTGACACATAATCTGAAAACCACTGATGGATGAGAATAGTCAACGTGTCCTTGGTAATCAACGTGGTTTTACTTTCCAGCTTTTTAGGGCCCTTTCACACAGTCCTATATTCCAGAAGATCAAGGCAGAAAATCCCACATTATCTGCTTTAAACTGGAATATATGGCAGTGTGGACTCAGATAACCCAGTTCAAAGCAGATATCGTAGGATTTTCTGCCTTGATATTCTGGGATAAAGGGCTGTGTGGAAGGGCCCTTACAAGGTGCTGCAATGGATGAATTTTTTTATTTCAGACAAAGCCATGGAGTTAATTAAGAACAATTATTTGATAATGATCATATAACACATATGCCACAGCAGTTATGCAAATGTTGTGAGGAATTTAGACATCTGGTTGGGTTGTTCTGAGACTAGAAAGTTTTGGACTACAACTCCCATGATTGTTCAGACATCATGAACAGTTGTCATTTTAAAAAGCATTTTTTCAAGACTTGTCATATTTATTTCAGTTTATAGATCAAATCAGCAACAAAAGATTAAGGGCCCTTTCAGACAGATCCTATATCCTAGGTACTGATCCCATGTTTTCTGTTGATCTAAGATTTTCTGGCAGTGTGGACTCATATAATCCAGTTTGAAGCAGAAAACCTGGGATCAGATCCTGGGATATAGGGACTGTCTGGAAGGGCTCTAAATTCACCTGGATTAGAGAACTATTGCATTTAGGTCTGCTTATCTTGCCACATACTCCAGTTGAGAGCACTTCAACCTTTGATTTGTTTTCATATTCAGTCAGGGGTAAATTGCAAATTGAAATAAGCAGAAAAGAGGTCTGTGATCCCTTTCCTAGATCAGAGACTCTTAATGCATTTCTCTTTCATTTCCAGGATGAAAATAATAATGGGAGAGCTCTTTCATAGGCTAAATACACAGTTCAACTGAGAAATGCTATGAAGCGCATGATTCACCTAGTAAGTGAAGAGATTGTGCTTGAACTGCAATTAAATTCCTTATTCAGGTATTCTTTGAATCTTGGTGTCATAGTATCATGGAATAATTGAGTTGGAAATGATCACATGGGCCATCTAGTCCAATTCCTTGCCATGCAGGAAAAGCACAATCAAATACCCCTGATAGATGACCATACAGCCTCTGTTTAAAAGCTTCCAAAGAAGGAGCTTCCACCACACTCCAAGGCAGTGAGTTCCACTGTTGAACAGCTCGTATGGTCAGCAAGTTGTTCCTAATGTTCAGGTGGAATTTCCTTTCCTGTAATTTGAACTCATTGCTCCAAGTCCTAGTTTCCAAGGCAGCAGAAAGCCTGTTCCCTCTTCATTATGACACCCTTTCACATATTTATATATGGTTATCATGTCTCTTCTCAACCTTCTCTTCTGCAGACTTAACATATCCAGTTGTTTAAGACGCTCCTTATAGGGCATGGTCTACACTCTCTAGACCAGTGGTTCTCAACCTGGGGTCTCCAGATGTTTTTGGCCTTCAGCTGGTACTTTCAGAACTCTAACACAACTTTCAAAATTTCATTATAAATGGCAGTTCCTAATAGGTTCTGTCATAAAAATTACCAATAATGAAATAATAATGACATTTTGAAAGTTTTGTAAGAGTTCTGACATTTTCACCACCAGAAAACTTTAGCAACACTGTAGAAGCAAAGTGCCAGCACCACCTAGTTTTCACCACCAGAACTTTAGTTTTGTAAGTACTTTAGAACCATTTAGAACCATGGTTGCACATGCCTAGTATATAAGTATATGTTACCACATCATGCCAGACCATCTCACTACCTACTCCTTGGTATTGGCTCTCCAAGACACAGATTTTTCACAGTTCTGTTGCACTATATTTTAAAAAAAGCAAAATGCTAATATCCACAATTTCTATTATTCAGTTTCTGATTAGTGTCTATATGTATTTTCTTGCTAAAGTAGTATTCTATAATGCTAATTCTCTCCTTTACTCAGTAAAAGACTTCTGGCATCTAACAATGGCATACATCCACCCTCTAATTACATTCTTGTAATGCCAAGCAATGTCTTTATTTAATAATTACCAACTCTCCAAATAATAGTTTTGTAGTATAATGTGTATCAAAAGAGTAATTTAGCATCTGCTTTAATCACAAATTAAACTGTAGCAGCTGAAATTTAAGGAATTTAATGTGCTACTGCCCATCCTTCAAGCTAACGTAGATTAGCCCTTGATTAAAGTAGGAGCTACTGAATAACATGGAAGTTATTCAAATATTTCAAATACACTGATGAAACAAAAAACAACATAGAATACTGGAAACCTACGGTGACATTATTATTCAGTCTATTGCAAGTAGACACGTCATGTTAAAAACATAAAATATTTTAAAGTATTTTGGAACCATCTTCACAAAAACTAGGGGACTGTTCCTTGAGCACCAAGGTAAAGATTATATGAGAGTGTTTCAGTCATTTACATTTTCTCAATAGTACATACATGTCTATTGTCAGACATCTAGAATCAAGGAATTATATCTTTGGGCAAAACTTTTACAAATTATGTCTTCTGCTACATTGAATGGCAGGTAGAAATTTATTTCTGACTACCAGAATATTTGTATTTGTAATCTGAATTAGATGGAGTTTTGAAATGCCCCTTATAAGGTTCTATGGAAAACATTTTTGAATGCCCTTTGAATAAACTAGCACTTTGTTCTGATCAGGAGGTTCTCTGCTTTTAACTGGAAGGCTGCCATCTTTTTGTGGCTGATGAAACAAATTTGTGTGCATTACTAGCAAGGAAAAAACATCGGTTTTTTAAAAGTCTAAATTAGATATCTACTGAAGGCAGGATTAAAGATTTTCTATCCCTAAAAAGTTTGTGCATCTGCTTGTGCATATTTTTTTAAAAAGCTTACCTCTCTTTGCCAGATGGGGTTGACAGTGTTACAAATGATCTTCGATCTCTTCTCTTGTCCATGATGTGGAAGAGCTGGGAAGATGCTATGCTTTCCAGGTTGGATTGAAATCTTTAGGTAAGGGTCAGGATTGAAAAACATGCCCTTCTTAAGACCAAAAGCCTGGAAATCTGTGGAAGATTGAACATTCCTATTAGTAATCATTTAGTCCTGGTTTTTAATAGTTTTCAATAGTTTAATAGAATCAGTAAAACATGTTCTTGCAATTGTAGTGTTATATAACTGCCTGTTAGCAGTTCAAACATGGCTTTGGCTATCCTAGTTAAGAAGACAGCTTTGTTTGCCTTGGAGAATAGCCCATGCTGGGAACTGTACAAGAGGCAATTAGGACAAATGAGGCCCCGTGCTAGTTAAGTTATAAAGTCCCTTACTTGGGCCCTGAACGAGGTTGGCCTTGTAGGCACACTCCCATAGACTTTATCATTATGTCTGGAATCACTCAAAAACAGAACACCTTCAAATTTAGAGTTGTAACACATAAGCAAAATCCATTTTTTGGGCAGGAATATGGGCCATTAGGGCTCTGTGCTTGAGTACACCTAAACACAATGGTAAATCCGGCCATGACAAGAGTAGTGTATCGTTGACAGTTCTGCTGGATCTCTCAGTGACTTCTTTTTTTAAAAAGAAGTTTATTAAATTTTATATAAGATACAGCGAAAGAATGAAAACAATAAAGTATAGAAAAGTGAAGAAGAGAGAAAAAAGAAAGCATAGACAAAGCCCTAAAATTCATTCTACAAAAATGCACCCACACAAAAAACAAAAAGAAAAAAGAAAAAAAAAGAAAAAAAGAAAAAAATGACTTCCATTCCATCTTCTTGGGTTGTATTTTCTTATTACTCAAAAATATTAAAAAAATTATTAACATAATAAAATTGTCTCTCTTGTTTTTTATTTTCCCAAATTGACCAGATAGTCAAGAAGATCATCCCAATTCGTTCTTTTTATTATCTTGCCTGTATTTTTCTTTAACAAAAAAGTCAATTTGTCCATGTCCTTTATTTCTTTGATTTTCTCCACCCATTCCTGTATGTAATATATGTAAAAGTTTGTCCTCCTGTTCCGTCAATTGCAAATCTAAGTCTGTAAAGCCTAACAGATAATACTCCGGTTTTCTTATAAAAGTTCTTTTTAAAATCTTTTGTGTCTCTTCGTGAATTGTCCTCCAAAACTTTACTGCTTCTTTACAAGTTCACCACATATGGTAAAAGGAGCCTACTTGTTCTGAACATTTCCAACACTTATCGGAAACTGTTTTATACATTTTAGCTAGTTGCTTAGGTGTGGTGTACCATCTGTGGAACATTTTTATCCAGTTCTCTTGCATATGTATATTTTAGATCTCTCAGTGACTTCTGATACCATGAACCATGGTATGCTCTGAGTGCGACACTTCCAGCATGGCTCGGACACTGCCTTATATGGTTCTGGTCCTTTATAGCAAGGCAAGCTCAAAAGCTCAAAAGATGATACTGGGAGATTTCTGTTCAGCACTTTGATCACTAATTTGAAAGCTTCCGCAAGGTTTAGTCTGAGGGTACTAAACTGTTGGGGAGATTGTCTGGCAAGATTTATTCAGAGGGGCTCTGCCTTTCTCCAGATTCACTATGCTATTTATATTATTTATTTATTTACTATATTTATATCCCGCCTCTTTCGACCCTGGAGGGGACTCAAGGTGGCTTACAACATAGGCAACAATTCCATGCCTTAACAAAACAATATACAATTAAAATAAACGTTAAAATTAAAATCAAAGTTAAAATACATTAAAACATTTAAAAACATTACAATAACTATTATAAATCACGCTATCCGAAATCATAATCCAGGCCATTCCAGTAGTCATTGCACATAATTCCAAACCCATCTATTGCACTATATTATTCTCCAAAGGCTTGATCCCAAAGCCTTGTTTTCACTCTCTTTCTGAAGGACAGAGGGGAAGAGGCTGATCTACTATTGCTGGGGAGGGAGTTCCACAGCCGAGGGGCCATCACTGAAAAGGCCCTATCTCTAGTTCCCGCCAATCACGCCAGTGAGGAAGCGGGATTGAGAGCAGCCCCCCCCCCCGATGATCTTAATCTCTGAGATGGTTCATAGGGGGATACGTTTGGATAGGTAAGCTTGGCCAGAACTGTTTAGGGCTTTATAGGTAGCAGACTGGCAGCCAGTAGAGCTGACGTAACAGGGGGGTTGTATGCTCACTGCACACTGTTCCAATGAGCAATTTCGCTGCGGCCTGTTGGACCATTTGGAGCTTCCGAACAGTCTTCAAAGGCAACTCCATGTAGAGCACGTTGCAGTAGTCTATTCAGGATGTAACCAGTGTGTGGACTACTGTGGCCAAGTAGGACTTCCCAAGGTATGGGCCCAGCTCCCCGGCCACCGCTGAAACTTGGGGTTCCAGGCTCAGTGATGCGTCCAAGAGAACTCCCAAGCTACAAACCTGTATCTTTAGGGAGAGTGTAACCCCGTCCAACACAGGCTGTAATCCTATGCCGTTTGGCTTTATGACTGACCAGGAGTACCTCTGTCTTGTCTGGATTCAATTTCAATTTGTTTGCCCTCATCCAGGCCATCACAGCTGCCAAGCACCGGTTCAGGCCCTGGATGGTCCCCTTAGTAGTAGGTGGAAAGGAGTAATAGTTTTGAACATCATCTGCGTACAGGTGACATCGAACTCCAAAACTTCAGATGATCTCTCCCAGTGGCTTCTTGTAGATGTTAAACAACATGGGGGACAATGCTAGCTATACTAGCTCATGATTATGACCTAATCAAAGCTCTATATTGCTTGACGATGGCATTTTATTTTTAACTGATGGCTAATAAGTAAAAAGAGAAAGCTGCTAAAATCTTGAATATATGACAACAAATGGTCTAGCATGAAGGGAGAGAAGAAGGTTGGCTAGAGACTCTAAGGATTGAAAATTCCCAGCTGTAGACCAGATATTGCTAGAGGTTTTGACCAGTTGTAAACAAAGCCATAGTAAAGCCAGAATAGGGAAGATAAGAGAGATGTGCTCTGCAAGTATTTCCCAGTCATCTAGCTAGAGCAAAGAACAACCGGAACAGCCCCAACTGATCTGTGGTTATGACACTCAAGAAAGAGCCCAGCAAGCTTCTTCTCCTCACCTCGTGTCCCACTGCCAGGTGGCAATATTTCAAAAAAGCTAAATGTACCTATTCTTCCCAAAGGTACCCTTTTTGCCATTAAAAGGCATTTACTTAATTTTTTCACTGTGGCTACTGAATTCTGGTAAAGTTTTTGTGAACAACACAAAGGCAAAGCAGTTCGGTACATTTTGGCTTCCCTAGACTATTTCTGTAGTAAAGTGAGAGAGCAGTTAGCATTCTCTGTGTATATTTTTAAACCCAAACCTATTGATGAATGATATACCATACATCATCTCTGATTGCTCATAAATCATAGTCTTTCCTAAAACAAGTGGCGAATATCAATCAATTTGAAAATGTCAGGCCATTTTTCAGAAACAGATCACTTGAGCACAAAGAAACCAGGCAAAGCAAGCATATTTCTCTGTATCTTTTTCAGTTATATTTTTTTAAAAACCTAGCATGAAATCTGTAACAAAATGATAGAGTAAGCCATTTATGGAAGTAAATTTATTAATAGCAGTAGAATTTGGAAAAAAAGATTTGGAAGCAATTATATTTGTTTGGGAGATAATAAAGAGCAAGTGAATACTTCTATATAATACTAGCGGTCCCCTGCCACGTGTTGCTGTGGCCCAGTCTGGTGATCTGGAAAATAAAGTAATGAGAAAGTGTTGGTTTCTAATATATGTAATGTCTTTATGCTTGTGGGTAAACAGTATTTCTTGTTTCTTTGCCAGTGTTGATGTGGAGATTGTCTGGTTTGCCTACTCTGGAACATGCAACATATCATTGTCCTTCTTTAGGGGTCCCTTTCAAATCTTTGATACGGCACCTGTCATATACATATATGTGTGTGTGCGCGAATGGCTGGATGGCCCTTTGTCAGGAGGGCTTTGATTATGTTTTCTTGCCCTGGTGAAGGGAGTTGTACTGGATGACCTTACGGCGGCATTTCTCAACCTGGGAAGTCAAGACCCGGGGGGGGTCATCAGGGACGTGTCAGAAGGGTCACCAAAGACCACCAGAAAACACAGTATTTTCTGTTGGTCATGGGGGTTCTGTGTGGGATGTTTGGCCCATTTCCATTGTTAGTGGAGTTCGGAATGCTCTTTGATTGTAGGTGAACTATACATCCTAGTAACTACAGCTCCCAAATGTCAAGGTCTATTTTCCCCAAACTCCATCTGTGTTCATATTTGGGCATATTGGGTATTCCTGTCAAGTTTGGTCCAGATCCATCATTGTTTGAGTCCACAGTGTTCTCTGGATGGAGGTGAACTACAATTCCAAAACTCAAGGTCAATGCCCACCAAACCCTTCTAGTATTTTCTGTTGGTCAGGGGAGTTCTGTGTGCCAAGTTTGGTTCAATTCCATCATTGCTGGAGTTCAGAATGCTCTCTGATTATAGGTGAACTATAAATCTCAGCAACTACAACTCCCAAATGACAAAATCATAATTTTTAGTGATGGTCACTCCTTGTGTTATGAGACGTTTTGTTGCCAAATTTGGTGTGATTTCGTTCATTGGTTCTTTTGTTTTTAAGGTACTCATTATGCACAGAGCATTTATATATATATATATATATATATATATATATATATATATATATATTCACAACTGAGACAATGTAAACTATAGAGATGGGAAACTACAAACCTTAGAAAGCTGGTGAGTTATAATACACACAACACATGTATACAATAATGATGTAGTTTTACAAGTTTTTTAGCTTTCTCTGCAAAAGAGTGTTGGCACCTGACCCAACTACAATCCCAGGATTCCACAGCATTGATCCACGGCAATTAAAGTGGTGTCAAGCTGCATTCATTTTATAGTGTAAATGCGCTCTTAGAAAACTTAATTATAGTCTTGGACAAATAATTATTTCTCTAACATTCCATATCTCAGAAGACAAAATGAACTAAGGATATGCAATACAATGTACTCTGAACATGTTGGGTAAGACAAGCTCCCAGAACAAAAATAAAGACATCTCTAGGAATAAGAGAGCAGTTAACAGGAATGCAGAGCTTGCAAGTTACTCGTAGGATGACTGAGCCATGATGGATGTTCTTGGTCCCAAAGCATTATCCTTCTACTTTGCAGGTGTGGATGGCTTCAGTATGTCAATATACTAATTTGTCTTAAAGGTTATTTTCCAAGCTCAAAGAGTTCTTGAGAGGGAAGCAGAATGAAGATTACAGAAAGAAAAAATGTCAATAAAATGCTGGGGATGGAGATTACTGGCATGTCTACATGTGACAGCTTGGGAATTGTGAAGAATATGTACAACGCTCTGCAAACAAAATCAACTGGATTTGCATTGACTTTGATGCTGCAGTTGATATAGGTCTAGTACATATAAATATTGGCTCCTGCGTGCTCTATATTGGATATGTTTCAATTTCTACATTTTGAAGATGCAGACAAGATTCTTGGAGAGGTGACAGCCATCACTTGTACACTGGACCCATGCCCATCCTGGCCCCTAAAAGCAGTTGGAGAAGAGTAACTAAGGAGAGCAATGAATGCATTATTACAGCAAGGCAGCTTTCCAACTTGCCTAAAAGAGATAGTGGTGACGATGTTAGTGAATAAATCCTCTCGGGACTAAACACACTGGATAATTACTAGCTCCTCTTTAATATAGCTGTCTTGGTTAAAGTTATAAAGTGTATGGTGATCTTACAGCTCTAAGAGTTCCTAGATGAAACAGATGATCCAGAGTCATTTTAACTGGCTTTAGGCCTAATTGAGACAGAGGCAGGTTTGGTCACCCATATAGATAACTAGATGAGGGATCTTTCTGTGACTTTTAATATTATTGGTTATGATATCCTTCTGGGCCACTTCTCTGTGGTGGGACTTGTAGGCACTGTTTTATAGTAGTTCCAGTCCTCCAGTGGTGAGTTCAGAAATGTGATATTGAGGGATTCCTATCCCTGGCTATTGATCTCATGCTTTGATTCCCAGAAATTGAATTTTAAAAATGCAGGAGAACAACTCAAAGTTGCAAGATCTCAGCTTCTGGTAACAGAATGGGGGAAATGTAATAAGGAAAGCCATGGGAGGTTTGCAGATAAAACATTTACTAGCATGAGGAAAAAAAGAGCATTGAGTGAATCCTGTTGATGGTGATGATGATGAAAAAAGTATCTGGTCATGAGCAAGAGGGAAGAAAATATGAATTATTCATACACTGCTAACAGGGTGCAGCAGCATAACTTCCTTTTTTCAAAACTTAATAAAACCAATTTTATGAATCAGATTTTTTTATAATGTAGGCATATACCTAAAGTTTTGTTTTATGTAGTTTTGAGGATCAAATTAGGTAGGCGACGTCCCCCATTCTCCATACACTGAGTAAACCGATTTCTGGCGTTTGTCATGACTCTTGCCAGCATAGCAGGCATTATGTTGGCAATTTCTTCCTGGATGTTGGTCTTCAAATCTTGTATGATTTTTTTTAATCCCATGTTTATGTGAACCGTCCAAGGACCCTACAAGATTTTAAGACCAACATCCAGTAGCTAGGGAAACTTTTGCACAATTAAAACTTGTGCGTTAGTTGTACCTGCACCTTGGGAAGTCAGACCTGACCACAGTGGTCCATGCTCTTGTTACATCCCAAATAGATTACTGCAATGCACTCTACGTGGGGTTGCCTTTGAAGACTGCTTGGAAGCTTCAACTAGTCCAACCGTCAGCAGCCAGGTTGCTCACCGAAGCAGCATACAGAGAGCATACAACTCCTCTGTTACGCCAGCTCCACTGGCTGCCGATCTGCTACTCAGCACAATTCCAATTGCTGGTTTTAACCTTTAAAGCCCTGAATGATTCTGGCCTGGATTATCTGACTGAACGTATCTCCCATTATGAACCATTGCAACATTTAAGATCAGCTGGGGAGGCCCTCTCTCGATCAACCATCATCGCAAACGTGACTGGTGAGGATGAGGGACAGGGCCTTCTCAGTGGTGGCTCCTCACCTATGGAACTCTCTTCCCAGTGACATCAGATTGCCCCCTTCCTCCTGTCCTTTGGAAAGAAACTCAAAACCTGGTTATGGGACCAGGCATTCGAACAGTAGAGGCAGCAATTGAGAATAAGAACAAGAGATATGAATGATAATGGACTGACTCAAACTCTGATTTTAAACCTGTGTAATTTTAAACATATGTCTTATTAATATAATATTTTAAATGAAATGTTTTAAATGTATTTTATTTATGATTGTGGTTGGCATTTGAATGAATGCCTGTTGTGAAGCCGCCCTGAGTCTCCCCATCCTCCCCCCCTCCCCAGGGGTGAGAAGAAAGGGGTACAAATATGCGAAATAAATAAATAAATGTGTAGGCCAATGCCTCAGTAAGCTCCTGAGGGGGAAGCTACCACCTGTGGAGATCACTGGTGCTCTGGTATCTTTGGACTAATAGAGATATCCCCCTGGAATAGGGCATTCAGAAGATTTGATAAGGTCCCGCTTCTGTCTCTGATTCTTTGCTAAGGCTTGCATCTCAGCATCTGTCTCAGTGGCATGGAGGCTGATTAGGGGCCAAGAAATGGCTGGTTTTAATGAAGAGTCTGATAAAATTATCTGGTGAGATTCACTCCTGAGATTTTCTTCTACGTGTCGGAGACATGAGCAAAGCAAAATTGTTGATTACAGTCTAAATATAATGCAACTTAACGGAAACTGTGGCTGCAGCCATAAAACTGAAACTCCTCCCCAGAGTGGTTTTAACAGTGGCATTTAAGTTGTAGCACTGTGATTCCACTTTGACTACCATGATTCTATCTTATGGAATCCCGAGATTTGCAGTTTAGAGAGGAGTATTTTGAATTCCTAGCCAGAAAGTTGTAACACCTTACCAAAATACTGTAATTGTGCGATAAGAGATGAGAAAGGGCCCCAATGTGTTAAACAATGTTAAAGATCATAAGCTCATTCAGCTCAAAAACTAAGTCATTAACATCAACCTGGAAAGTGTCAGATATGCCCCTGGTGTTAAATAAATTAGATCAGAAGATTTGGGGTTTATGGAAATTTATGACAAAAATAATAGTAAAGTTGAGAATCCCTTATCCGGAATTTTGAAATCCAAATTTTTCCACATGGGTGGCTGTGATAGTGACACCTTTGCTTTCTGAATGTTCAGTGTACACAAACGTTGCTTTACAGAAAAAAAATATTTAAAATATTGTATAAAATTACTCTGAGGCTATGTGTATGTAGGCATATGAAACATAAATGAATGTTGTGTTCAAACCTGGGTCCCATTTCCAAGATGTCTCTTTATGAATGTACAGGCAATTTCCCAGTTACAAACATTCAACTTACATACAACTCTTAGTTATGATTGGGCCTCTTCCCTCCTTCCTTGCCAAATCATTTTTATCTCCCCCCCCCCATTTATTTCCTTTCATGTCTGTATCTCCCCCCTTCCTTTCCTTCATGTCTGTATTTCTCCTTTCCTTTCCTTCGCGTATCTCTCCCCTCCTTGTGCCTGTATATCTCCCTCTCTTTCTTTTCCTTCATGTCTCTATCTCTCCGTCCTGCCCTTCATGTCTGTACGTCTCCCCCTTCCATTCCTTCATGTCTATATTCCTCCCTTCCTTTCCTTCGCGTATCTCCCCACCCCCTGTATCTCTCTCCCCATTCCTTTCTTCTGAGACTTCTTTAATTGCAATGCCTGAATGTTATGCAATCCTAGGAAAAGTAGTTTGGTGAGGCAGCAGCATTCTTTGGCAGAGAAGGATCAAGACTTTGTAAAACTATATCCCCCAGGATTCCATACCATTGAGCCAATGTAGCTAAAGTGGTGTCAAGCTGTATTCAGTCTATTGCACAGATGCAGCCCAAGGAAGCTGAAGCAGGATAAACAAAAGAGGTTTCTTGAAGGAAGGGTTGCCTATTTCTCTGGTTTTTCTTTCCATTGTTGGAAGATGTGGCGTTGTAGCACTTTTGTTTTAAGAGAAAACATTCTAAACACGAAGCAACTGTAATGCATACTTTTTGCCAGCCAGCAGCACACGCTGGGCCTGCTCCAACTTACATACAGATTCAATTTAAGAACAAACCTACAGAAACTTCTCTTGTTCATAAGGTGCGAGTCAAAACACTTTTGGTCCCAAGCAGCATGCATAATGGATACTTAACCTGTATTGCACAATGTTACAGTAAAACATACCTGACAATGAGAAACTAATCAGTCTTCTGCTTCCCTGTCCCTGGACCGAATCTTCATTGGTGATACTTTTAAAAATCTGCCAGTGAAGAGAAAAATAGCAAGAGAAATATCATCAATTGTGTTTGTTTGTTCATGGAACAATACTGACTAATAATGGTTATTTCTATACCCACAATCATTTAGACATCAATGGCAGGTATTCAAGAGACAGCTATTGATCAGAATCCTTTTCTGACCACTCAACACTCTTAACAGTAGAGAGGAGAAAGAGACCACAGGAGAGCTCCTTCTCAGACAATCAGAAAGAAAAAGAAAGAATTACTATAATAATATCATAGTGGCAGTAAAAAGACCATTTTTATGTTTGCTGTTTGCAAATTTATTATTATTTTATTTATTAACTTTATTTGTACCCCGCTACCATCTTCCCAAGGGATTCGGTGCGGTTTACATTAGGCCGAGCACAAATACAACAATAGAAGCAATAAAACATCAATGCAAGTAATTGAAAACATAGACAATAAAATACACATTATCAAAAAATAAATAAAAGGAACATATAATTAAAACAGTGGGAAGGCCAAACGTAGAGTTAAAATTGGAAATAATGCTGGGCCATGAACGAAAGGTGATACTGATGTTTGTGGAGGGCATACAAACAGACTCAGGGAAATGTAAAGTGCTTTAGAGGACAAAGTGTTATGGGATCATTATTCTGGGAAGGTACACTGGAACAGCCACGTCTTCAAGCTCCTCCTGAAGACTGCCAGAGTTGGAGCCTGTCTGATATCTTTAGGGAGTGAGTTCCAGAGTCGAGGGGCCACCACCGAAAAGGCCCTCTCCCTCGTCCCCACCAAACGTGCCTGTGATGCTTGTGGGATCAAGAGCAGGGCCTCTCCGGAAGATCGGAAGATCGAAGGGATCGTGTGGGTTCGTATGCAGAGATGCGATCAAATCCTATTTGTTTTATGTTGCACTTCATTCAATTTGGGAACAACTATTTCAACTATAAAATGAAAATGTATCACCTGGATTTGTAAGCTACAATCCCCAGATCCATATGCAGAGCCCTTTTGTTTTTGTTTTTTTAAAAAAGGGAAGGGGACCTACAGGTTTGACACAGAATTTGAGGAAATTACATTCTAAGATTTCAATCCTCAGAATCCTTTGGCCAGCTTGCTGGTATTTAGTTCAGGGATTCTGAGAGTGGCCAGGAGTTTTTGAGGGCTGTGCGTCCAAAAATAACTGCAGCAAGCTCTGATTCAGCAATGAAATGTGGGTGACTGGATCCATGCCCCTAATCTTCACTATCTGAATTTTGCTGAACCTTTTGTCCTCAGATCTGATTATGCCACTTGAAGTGTGAGGGGGCCTTCTTCCATTCAGCTATCACTCAAGCAAAAGAGGGAAAGCATGACCTCTAGCCAGATGCCTCTCCATTCACCAGCAACATTATCAGCAAAAAGAATCTCCAGCTTGCCAACCTGGTCTCACAGCAGGGTGAGTTCAGGACAATGTGCCAAATTTTATTGGAAATTGCTTTGCTTGACTAATTTTGCTGCAGCTTTAGCAAAGCTGCTTGTATGATCAAATTTCCCTCCTCTAAAATATCAAATAAAGCACAATCATGCCCCTAAAACTCAGCATTTTTTAAAAACTTGGCCAGATCATTTTTCTGAAAGTTTATTGGTGCTGAACAACTTGCAAAACTAAGCAACTTGTTTTTGTCCAATTTTGCTTTCCAAATGTAGTATTTTTGCCTCATCTCCACCTGAAATTGCCATCATCTTGACTTTGGCTCTACTGCAACCTAACTATATTTACCCAAACATCTTGTAGATCATATAACTTGTATTATTTAGCATGACTCCTGATGAAAACTACACATTTAATCTGTTTAGTACAGAACACAGTGGACACAATTTCTACTTGCCTTATTATACTGATACATTTTCATCTATGGATAACCAGGGTGAAAATGCTGCCATTAATGCCATGTCAATGTCAGTAAACAGAAAAACAACTGCCATCCAGAATTGGCTGAGACTGGGGGGGGGGGGGGGTGTGTGTGTTAATCTCTCCCAGCTCTGCCCATCAGGATTCTCTGTGCAGCAGGCGGCGAAGCCTGGGAGTCGGGGAGGTGGAGTTGCTTGGTCTATCGTGATTCCATCACCCTGACCAGGTACCCTATCCCACAGTCAACAACGTTTGAGTGTATTTATCTAAAGGTGGGTAACCATGATAGAATAGGGATTATGTTGGTGTACGCCCACTGAGCCGCTCAACAGCCTCCCTTCCTGAGCTAGCTGGGGTGGTCTCAGGGTTAGCGTTGGAGTCTCAATGGCTAATCATGCTGAAATTGCCCTATCAGAAGGGCTCAGAACTTCATGGCCTCCATGACAACCATGGGTCTGTCTCAGGTGGTGTCTTGCCCCACCCATGCTGTGGGACACACTTTGGACCTTGTTTTCTATGCAGGATGGGATCATGGTGATGGTAGTTTGGAGGAACTTGTCACAGTCCCATTGTCATGGACTGATTGCTATCTGGTCAGATTTAGACTTGTTGGGACTCCAAACCTCTGCAAGGGTGGAGGACCGATTAAGATGGTCTGCTCCAGGAAGCTTATGGATCGGATGGATTCCTGATGGCTCTTGGAGATTTTCCTGTCACCTTGGCAGGCAATTCTGTTGAAGATATGGCTGAGCTCTGGAATGGGTAAATGGCCTGGGTGGTGGACACAATTGCTTCTGAACATCCCCTCTCATGGAGCAGAGCCAAGCCAGCCCCTTGAAGCAAGTGAGATGGATACTACAGTGATGCTGGTGGAAAACTCGAAGCGAATGTGACCTAGCATGGGCTAGAGCATATTTGATAGCCTACTCAGTGGCAATGGAGGCAGCAGATGCCGTTCCCCCCTCCCAAACCTATTACTGTTATTGTTTCCCTTATTTTCACCTTCAACACCTGGAAATCCAGTGCACAAAGAGCCCCAAGGGCCTCATCACAATAGAGAAAAAAAAATCCACTCAAAATCCAGTTTCTGCCTCCTTCAGAATTCTGGGGTTAGGGAGGAGCCTTTAACAGCCTCACTAAACTACAAACCCCAGAATTCTTCAGGAGGCGGAAATCAGATTTTAAGTGGATTTTTTCTCTAGTGTGATGAAGTGGCTTGTCTCAGTCATTCACAAGATGGCAACTCTGCAACATAAAGCCAAATGAAATTGTTCTCCATTTGTGTAGTTATTTTTTATTTGTTTCTGGCTCAAAATGGTTAGTATAAGGTTGATAACTTAGTAATTCATTAAACTGTTTGTAACTTTTCACATAATTGTAACATGTTGCTCTCGTGAAATATACTGCTTTGAAACTGGGGTCCATCATTTTGCAATAGCTTGTATTGGAATGTAAGATCAGGCAAAAAGATAGCAGGTTCTTCTTTTACAACAGATAGCAGTCCCTTAATTAACTGTGACTGATCCAGACAATGTTATCTGCCCCAAATGCTTTTGGGATAGATGATTAACAGAGGAAGGAAAAACACATGGGAAAGGAAGAAAACAGATCACAATTCCTCCCTGTCTAAATCAGTGGTTCTCAACCTGTGGGTCCCTAGGTGTTTTGGCCTACAACTCTCAGAAATCCCAGCCAGTTTACCAGCTGTTAGGATTTCTGGGAGTTGAAAGCCAAAACATCTGGGGACCCACAAGTTGAGAACTACTGGTCTAAGCCATCACGTTCTTAGAGGAGAAGAGAGCAGCAAGACCAAGCTGCTGCTTCTTCCAAGATATCTCATAACAAAACAAATACTAGCTAGCTATGGTAACATGATGGGTAAGGGAGACACACAAAACTGTAGGTAGATGTCTTGAATAAGAAATGGCAAGTGAGTGACAAAGTCAGTGCATTTCAGCCCAGAAGAGTGATTTCTCTTTAGAAAGTGGGACTTCTGAAGCTTGGGTGGAGAGGACAGGAACATCCACTATACTTTTCCCTCCCCCATTTTAAATATACAAAAATGAGGTTCACTTGCCTATAAATCATTTTAAAATATGCTAGCGATCAAATGTTTTCCCTCACATATGTTTATCATTTAGTCAGTCATTAATCATACTTCAGTATTTAAAAACATTTAGAGTAGAACCATATTAATATTTGTGCCTCTTTTTCAATTGACTGAGGCCATCTAAACAGGGAGGGGTTTTTTGCCCGGTGCCTGCAATGAGCTCAGAAGGAGCCAATGAAGCATAGAAGGTTAAGATTGTATTTTGCAGCTGCTTGTCTTTGTATAATTTGTTAGATGGCAGTGTTATTATGTACGGCCTATTAGTATTTCTATTATATAGTCATAACTGGATACATGATCTGAGTAATGCAGCAGCAGAAAATACTGTGTGAGAATCAAAACCATTAAAGAACTTAGCTATAGTAATTATCTTCTTTATGCTTTTAGGGACCAAAACACTCAACCCAATTTCATTCTTGTATCATCTGGTTTGTATATTTTACCCCAAGGTCAGAATATTCATGTTGGATTTTGGTGTCACAGAAAGTAACAATCATTTGGAATTATGCCACATTGACGATAAACCAATGTGTGCTGGTTAACACTCACTAACTCAGCGTTTCGCAACCTGGGGGTCGGGACCCCTGTGGGGGTCGCGAGGGGGTGTTAGAGGGGTCGCCAAAGACCATCAGAAAACATAGTATTTTCTGTTGATCATGGGGGTTCTGTGTGGAAAGTTTGGTCCAATTCTATCAGTGGGGTTCAGAATGCTATTTCATTGTGGGTGAACTATAAATCCCAACAATAACAACTCCCAAATGGCAAGGTCTATTTTCTCCAAACTCTACCAGTGTTCACATTTGGGCATATTGAGTATTTGTGCCAAGTTTGATCCAGATCCATCATTGCTTGAATCCACAGTGTTCTCTGGAAGTAGGTGAACTACAACTCCAAAAAACTCAAGGTCAATGTCCACCAGACCTTCCAAGTATTTTCTCTTGGTCATGGGAATTCTGTGTGCCAAGTTTGATTTAATTCCATCATTGGTGGAGTTCAGAAGGCTCTTTGAT